ATCGAACTCATGCGGAAGTGGCTTAAGCTTCTTAGTGCTGTGCTTTAACCCGCTGCGCCACCAGGGAGGGCCTATCCCTGATATTTTTGCACATTTTTTTTTTGTTCTCTTAATGTGTCAGTTTCAGAGGTTTTAGTAAAAATCTTAGCTAGGTCTATTGATTTGTTTTCCCCTGCTATTCTGTCAAGTGTCTGATTGTTCGTGTACACGTGTGTTCACGGTGAATTCTTCTTGCTTTATTGTCCTCAGACATCATTTTTTGCTTTCCCTTTTTGCCTTGAATCTCACTTTACAAAGTAATGTGTTTAATACCCCAGTGGTTAGTACCTTATTTTATCTTTTCATATTCAAACATTTTCTATCTTTGTGCTTTAAATGTGTTTCTTTATTCTGTGTTGATATTCTTGTTGATAAGGGTATGGTGAAAAAGGAACTCTAGTTCACGAGAGAGGGATGTAAATTATGGAAAGGTGTATGGAGAGTCTGTAAAAATCTAAAACTGGAAATGGCATAAGATCCAGCAATACTGCTCCTAGGCATTAAACTATTAAACTGAAGAGTATGAAACACTAATGTTCAGAGCAGCACAGTTCACAACACCCAAGACATGGAAATCACACAAATGCCCACTGAGAGAAGCTGGATAAAAAGAGGAGGTTCATATACACAACAGAATACTACTCGGCTATGAAAAAGATGAAAGCTTGCCCTTTATAACAACCTGAATGAAATCTGAGGTGATTATGATACGTTAAATAAGTCAGAAAATGAAAGACAATTGCTAAATGGTTTCTCTCTTATGTGGAACATAAATAAAGCAAATGGACTAAAAATCACAATAAAAATAACTTAGTGTGAAAATATAATGGTTACTAAGGAGAAAGGGAGGGGAGGTAGGAGAAAAGGGTGGAGGGCATCACCTGCTAGCAGGAAGGGCAGAAGGAGGTTGGTGGCGAGTGAAGTGAAGACATCCCCACCCATTTAATGCTATCATGAGTCAGGGAATTTCATTACATTAAAAAAGTGTTGTTGGCCCTCCCTGGTGGCGCAGCGGGTTAAAGCACAGCACAAGGAAGCTTAAGCCACTTCTGCATGAGTTCGATCCCCGCCTGCCCCGGAGGAGATCCACATGGCGAGGCAGACCTCTCCTGACCTGCCCGCTGCTCCCCTCAGCAGTGTACTTCGTCGATCTGCCTGTTCTGCTCCCCACTCTGTCTCTGGTGAATCCTCTCACCCTCCGCATCTCTGGCCTGTACCCCAGTTCTGTACAAATAAATAAATCTTTAAAAAAAAAGTGTTATTTGTAAAGAGCATATTGCTAGGTTTTTAAAAACCTAGTCTATCTAAGAGTCTCAATCTTCTAGTGATTTAATATTTAACCTTTTTTATGGCCAGTCACTATTGCGTATGACACATTGATGCCTTCTGTATTTTTTGTACTGTCTCTTCGGGGGGGGGGGCTTCCCACACTATTTTTCTCTTTTTTGTTTTCTACTGGAGAGATGGACTTTTCTTCTGTTCCAATTTTCTAGCCCTAATTTTGTTCTCATGGCCGCTGCCCTGTCACCTACATTGATTCTTCCCTGTGGACTTTTTCAATTTAGCAAACCTGTACAAGCTAAGTTTCTCCAACGGCCCTTTCTGCCTCGTTGGTACCTAACCTCCCTCACTTGACAGTCCAACTATGGTTTGCTCGATTTCCCTACCTTCCCCCTTAGGGAATAAATAATAAACATGACAAGGCACTACCAGGGTTGGGTCACCTGATGCTTCTTGCTGTTCCCTGCAGCAAGCAGTTCCCAGGTGGGCTTTTCTTATTCTGATGCTTCTTATTCAGATGCTTCCACTGAGGCATCTTCTGGCCTAGCCTTCTGTGGGTAAGTCTTCTGACATCTCTCTGCCTGAGAACACTCCAGCTATTCTTTCTGACACTTGTGGTACCTAGTGTCTAAATGTCTAGGTGGGAACACCACCATGCTCCTCTTTCCCTACCACCAGTCAGTGCACATGCCTCCCTGTCCTCTGCTGGCATTAAGTGAAGAGCAGGAATAACCGGCCTATTTTGAAACCCCGCGGCCACCATACACCTCATCTCCTTCCACCTCGCTTGGCCTCCTGGGTCACCGTGACTTGCTTTGTAGGTTCGGAGCTGGAGAGGCTTAGAACAGCTCTAGGGGTCTGTCAGTGGTCGCTGGCCAGCCTGGCACACACGTGGAGTCTTTCCTGCTCTCAATAAAACCAGATTAGAACACTTTGGTGGAAAATACATGCAAAGTGGTATTTTAATAGTTCCATGTCGTCACTTAAGGTGCAGGGGCTGCTGAGTGAGCTCTGAGCATAAGCAGCCCCCGGTGACATTCCTGGACGCTTACGCTTCAGAGAGTCGTAACTGCACGGTCATTAACATGCAGCCTGAGACCTTCTCGGCCTCCAGGTGTGAGCACAAACTCAAGGGGCCCTGGGGTGTGACCATCCCGCTTTCCTACGTGGGGCTTTTGTATCCAGGGAGAAGTGTTCCATTTTCCTGGAGACATTGTAATAGGCTAGATATACTCTGGAAGAGAAAGAGGCTCTTAAGCTGGAGGGAGATAGAATCTCAGAGCTGACAGAGAAAAGAAAATGTACATGTATGTATGTATTAAAAACTAGCATTTTCGGCCCTCCCTGGTGGCGCAGTGGGTTAAAGCACAGCACTAAGAAGCTTAAGCCACTTCCGCATGAGTTCGATGTCCCGGAGGAGATCCACATGGAGAGGCAGACCTCTCCTGACCCGCCCGCTGCTCCCCTCAGCAGTGTACTTTGTCAGTCTGCCTGTTCTGCTCCCCACTCTGTCCCTGGTGAATCCTCTCAACCTCCGCATCTCTGGCCTGTACCCCAGTTCTGTATGAATAAATAAATAAATCTTTAAACAAAAAAAAAAACTAGCATTTTCTGGGCCCTCCCTGGTGGCGGCAGTGGGTTAAAGCACAGTATAAAGAAGCTAAAGTCACTTCAGCATGAGTTCGATCCCTGCTCCGAGGTGACCCACATTGTGCGGCAGACTTCTCCTGACCTGCCTGCTGCTCCCCCCAGCAGTGTACTTTGTCAATCTGCCTGTTCTGCTCCCTGTCTCTGGTGAATCCTCTCACCACCCCTACAACTCTGGCCTGCACCCTAGTTCCGTATGCATAAATAAATAAATCTTTTTAAAAAAACCTAGTATTTTCTAAAGGATGGGTTTGGGTTCAATGGAATTCTTTCAGTAAGGCTGCACTGATAGAGGGTCTGCCCTTTTCCCACCCATCTCTCCTTCCCCATCTTATGTCCTCACCCGTCAAGCTAACCCAGAGACGGGAGTCCCACTCAGGGCCCATGGTAGTATAATAGTAAGTGGGGAGAGGGGCCCACGTAGCTTCCTGCAGTGAGGGCCTCTGCTTTGGGAGCTCAGCGCATAACTGGCAAGCTTAAATGACAAGCGTTACTGACCTTTTAAGAGGCACTGGATTTGTACTTTTGGGGCATAACGCTAAAAGACTACCCCCTAAAAAGTGAGAAGGGTTTCAATTCAAACAGAAAATAATGGCCACAGTCATTTCTGTGTAGTTCTTTTTGTAAGTCAATCAAAACCTCTTCTGATCACTTCAACCCACCTCCTCATTTCTCTTAAGGCTCACGCTCAGCTGTGGAAAACCCCTCCACTGGGCAATGCATGAATAATGTAGGTGAACCCCATTTTAAGAATGGCCTGATACCAGCATGCAAACTGAACAGTTTAATGAGATGATGTTTATGAATATTAAACATGGAAAAACAGTGGTTGAAAATAGGATTGAAAGTTTAAAAAGGTCAGTTTTCCTCTTATGACATTTCCAGAACTATTTCTGCTATGTAGTGGTAGGAACCTTGGCCATTCCAGGGAATTTAGACTCCGATTGTAGACCTGGAGACCATCTTCCAATGATTCAAAGATAAGCCTCCGTGGAACATCAACATTTTCTGCCTCTGCTCCAGTATCCCTTTTATCTTTTAACCAAGAGGAATTACTTGTTGGTGTGATGATTTTGTCAGTAAATAGGAGAGAAAGAAGAATCAACACTTCTGATGCAGAAGGGCCCATGGAGCCCTTCCTGTCATGGAACCAACAAGACAAGGCTGAGTGTGTGCTGGACTCTGCCGCGGGGTGGGAGGTCACTAGCAGAGCCAGGGGTCAGCCTGCGGCCTAGTGCGTTTTCTGACGTGACGCGTGCTCTGAGTTGAATGACCACGTCACCTATTTCTATTCCCTTCCTGGTGAGTTCTCTTTAGGGCTGTGGTTTATTTTGCAGAAGTTTCCTTAAAGGAAGCTCTTACGGAGTGAGCTGTGAGGATAAAGTCTGACATCAAGTAATTCTATCTGCGATAAGAGTGTGTCTTAGAACAGAGGGCTCCTACATCATGACTGTACATATTCCCCTGTGCTTCAGAGCGAGTGGGGTGTAGGCTTGCTTGGGGGTAGCATCACAGAGGGACAGCAGCTGTGATGGGGTGACCTGCAGCTTGGGGACCTAGACAGTCTGCTGAAGACTGAGTTTGTAGTGACATGTTTTGGAAAAGACAACTTAGGAGACGTCGTAAGCTTGGTACTTTGTCAGGATTGATGCTCTTCTGTTTTTCTCTTGGGACAGATAGTAGGCGCGGTTGGCCTCTGGGTAGGTGACTTTGCTGAGAGGGAGCCTGTAGATGGTGGGGTTGTTGGTCGACAGGAGCAGGAAGGTGAGTGCCGAGAGGCAGAAGGCCCAGGTGCAGGGTGGCAGTCCGAACTGAGGAAGGGACACAAGAGAAGCTGGGTTACCCAGGACATGCCAGCACCCGCCAGCACCACTATGGGCGCCAGAGAAGGCCTGCTTCATGGGCTGCGACTAGAACACTGACTGGTGACCCGCAGGGTGAAATCATCTGCGCGGTAACAGGTGCCGCGCCTCCTTCGGAAGGTGGCCGTTGGAACCGCACGTCACCGGCCTCTGTGTAGAGACGTCTTTGTCTTGGGGTGGCTGGCCAGGAACTGTGGGCCATTCCCAGCCTCCTCCCATTGCTCCTGGACAAAGAGTGGCTGTGGCAGCCATTTTGGAGCTCAAGACCCCTTTTCTCGTGGGTCAGCGATAGGCACCTGTCTCAAAAGCAGTTGACCTGGGACTAGACTCGCTCCCTTGAGGATCTGAACTAAGGGACGCGGAGATGGGGTCCAGAGGCCTCTGACCTGAAAGGACTAGAGTGGTAGCCAGTGCTGGCACACATCGGGGGCTGTGTGCAGCAGACGGACTCCCGCCTCCGCCCACGACAGACACAAGGACGCAGAGAAAGGAGACATGATGTTCGTTCTGGGGAACTGGCACAGGGAGTAGTTTCCTCTCTGCTCAAGGGCAACGCCGTCCCCAGCTCCCTCTCTCACGATGTTCACTGGTTTCATTCCTTTAGATGTCCTGAGATAGTTGAATAGCCCTTCCCGCCCTCACTGGAGATAAGCTGAGTGGCTTCTCGAGTGGCAGCCATGAGGTGGACCAGTCCTACCTCCTCTCCCCGTGGCCGTTCTGCCACACGTAGTACAGTCACCCCAGTGACCCCACTGGGCAGCACGGCCAGTCCTGCAGGCTACATACAGGCAGCTCTGTGGGACAGGCCGGGGCCATGGGAACTGTGACCAGGAGGAGAGCTCGTTGGAGATGAATTCTGCGTGTTCACAGAACGAAGGACTTGGGTCTGAGCGCCACAGACTCAGGTCCAGGGCTCTGCTTGCGTCTCCCTGTCACAGTCCTTTCATCTTCCTACACCTGTTTCCTCCACGGTGAAATGGAGACAGGATGTTTCCACAGGGAGCTGGCACCTGGTGCCATGTCCTCACTATGTGGAGGGTAGCGCTCCTGAGGACCTGGCACCATGCACATGCCCGTGACAAAGTGGCCCCTTGGTGCTCTCTTCTGTGGCCACTGGCCCCTGAGGTGTCAATCAGCATTTCTATGTCATGTCCCTTGAGGGGATGGGAAATTCCTTTGGAACGAGTTAATGACCTGCGCTGTTGGGTCCCTGAGTGGTGAGTGCTGCGTCTTAAATAAAGCAGGCATGCAGAAAGCAAACTTGGTTTTGTTTTGAAAAGTGTCTGACCCATAACTTCTCTGTGCAGGCCAGTCACCTTGCAAATCCTCAGAGCAGGGGCCAGCGTCTCATGGGGCACCCCTTCCCAGCACCATGTCTGAGGAAGACATGTGGCCTGTATGTATTTGCTGGGCAGTGGGGTAAAAGATGGGTGCAGGCACGGAGGGAAGGCAGCGCTGGCCAGACAGGTGCTCAGAGCCACGCATCCTGCCTGATGATGGCGACTGAGCCCCGAGTACAGAATGTCCCCCATGCTGCAGGCTCCCTGCCTTAGGATTCATTCACTCAGTATTTTTTGAGCCCCTACTAAGTAATGGGCAGTGGAATAGGTGCTAGAGATAAAGAAAAATATGACCCTCTCCTGTGTGAAGGAGCCCAGGGGTTGAAGGTGGCAGAAGACCAGATGTGTCACTGCATGTCAGCAGATGCTCATGTTAGGGAAGGCTAACTCTATTGTTTAGACAATTCCTGCCTATCCTTAGTCCATACCACCCCATTTCACTGAGGGTACAGGAGGGAGGTAGACAGGTGTGAGTCAAAGCCCACCTCCAGCTGTACCTGTAGGAACAGCTTTTTCCTGCTTGCCTAGGGGAGATGTGTCCTTGACCCCTTGCCCAAGAAGGGGAGGCTTCTGCTGCAGGCTGAGCCCTCCACAGAGGGTTTGGGCCCCTCCCGGTGTCTCTGAGGGCTGGAGCTGGCCATGCAGCACCTTCTGACCTTGAATGCCACACTACCCTGGGGCTCAGACAAGGAGGAGCCTCAGATAGTGGGTGCACCCACCCCACGGCCACCAGCTCAGGCTCCTTTTGGACTTGTCAGGGGCTCTACGCCCCTTCTTCCCAGCAGCCTCCCCTTGTGAGCCTGACTCTTTGCTCGTTGCCATGGGAGCCAAACACTGGCCCACAAGCCAGTGGGGCAGACAGCTGTCAACATGCAGAAATGAAATATACAGATTAACATAATTGTACATGATGATACAGCAGGAAGGATTTGTTCACAAAAGGATGCTCCTCAAATTGTCCTCCAAGGTCTCCATTAGCCCACTGATGCTGGGATCCAATTCACTAGCCACTGATATTTCAACTTGGGAGGCCCAGCACCTTCTGCCTAGGGGTGCTGAGGAGAGTCATGTGACTTGGGGCAAGAGGGATGAATCAGGGAAGGCTTCCTGGAGGAGGGAATTATACCGGCTTGGGGACCCATGAGGACAATGGCTGTGGGCGTTTCAGCCCACGTTCACTCACCACAGAAAACATGTTAGCCAGGGCAGCACCCAGGTAGGCCGTGAACAGTGCTGGAAAAGAACCAAGAAAAAGTTCAGTGACTAACAGAGCCTGAGCTTGGTCAATGCGCCCTCTCCCCACACATTTTATACCTCAAATGCCACCTCTCAGATGAAAACAAAACCACTTGAGTTATGTTTCCATTGCTTGGCGGCTTTGAAAAGTGTTAAATTCCATGCAAATGCCGCACGGCTAAGACTACAGATGAACTTTGTTAAGAGGGCCAGGAACGAGCTGTTAGGGGCCCCTGGGGTCCCGCCACCTTGCATTCTAGCAAAGGAACATTTAGCAGTATAAACCATAAAAGAAAATTTTACTGTACAGCTACGGTAAGTGCACCCAGAGTCCCCTGCTGGGATATTCCATTGCAACTTTTTAATATAATACGGGTTTCCAGAGAAGAGCAGCATCCCGAGAGCTCAGGAAGACCAAGCCCGCCCACTGCCTCATCCTCTAGGCTCTGGGCGTGGAGGGCTTGGCCAGGCTGAGGCCGGAAAGAGCAGGCGCCAGCAGGTGAGGCCCTGGCTTTGATGCTGCACCCTGATTTCCACTAGAAGCATGCTGGGCTCCCTAGGGTGTTCACAACAGCAAACCTTGGCTGGAGAGTCTCTGGGCTGGCAGGTAGCAGTCCTGTCCGCCTCCTTCAGCATTCCCTGCTGGCTATTCCTGTCTGCCTTTTTTGGATGAAGCCGAGGCCCTCCTAGGGTCAACCCCCAAATGGTTGTGTCTGTCGTACCACAATCCCCAGTGTTTCAGAGGAGGGTCCTCAGCTGGGAGAGTGGAGGAGGCAAAGGTGTGCGTTACCTGAAGAGGGTTTGGGTGTGCAACCCTTAATGTGTCCCCCCGGACACCCTCAGGATGGGCATGAGTACTCCGAGTCAGCCCCACAGAAGCTCTGTGAGGTGCTAATGTCCATATCAGGCACTGTGAGCATCAGGAATTGGGGTGCATGTGACTGGGCCAGGGGGTAGCCCAGCCATCTGCTCCCAGGGGACCTTAGCCACTGGGCAGTGCAGCCTTTCAGATCTGAGGTTGAAGAGGGGCAGGGGAAGGGCAGACCCAGGCACCCAGGACACAGAGGAGCCAGAGGGCCCCTGAGTGGGAATCTGGGCTTGGCCTATGAAGAGTGAAAGACCCACTTCCACCTGACTTCATCCATCTTCCCCAGCTCCGGACTCAAAGTCTTTATATTCTTTCCTCTACTCCTCCCCTCCACCCCCCAAATTGAACTGTTAAGAGCCAGTAAACTCTTGGAGAGCCTTCCACCAGCTTATACTGGATGTGGGGCTGGCACAGGGGCGTAAGAGCAGAAGCTCCAGTGCCTGGGGAGGAAGCAGGGAAAGAGGGGGTGTGCAGTCTGGGTTGGAGGGAGAAGCTGGGGTGCTGGGAGGAGAGGCCGTGACTGCAGGCCTCCCAGCTGGGGTGCTGTGCCTGCATGGGAAAGGGTCAGTCTGGGTTTCTTCCCTGGCATAGAAAGCACTGGCTTCAGGAAGCATCTTGGGGTCTGCAAAGAGCATGGTCTTGACTTTGGATGATTTATTTAGTCTCTCTGTCTCAGTGCCTATCTGTGAAGTGGGACAGTGATGGTGTCCACACCCTGACAGGGCGGTAGTGAAGATCAAGATCACAATGACATCATCTGTATCAAGGTCTCTCAACTTTGGGACAACTGACACTTTGGAGGGTGTAGTTCTGTTGTGGGGTCTGTTCTGTGCATTATAGGGGTGTCAGAGCATCCCTGGTCTCCCCCCACAATGGATGTTAGCAGCGCCTCTTCCTCTTCTAGGTATGACAACCAAAAATGTCAGCTTGCCCTCGGGGGGGAGGGGCATCTCCCCAGCTGAGAACCCCTGGGGAAACGTCTGAGCCAGTTGAGCATTTAAGAATTGTTGTCGGATAGATACCCTTCACCACCCTGAATCCCTCTAGGCTCTTCAGTGTCTCTTGACTTTTTATTTGTCATCTTCAGACTTTTTTAAAAAAAGATCCTCAACAGTTTCGTAGTATAAATAATGACTATTTAAAATATATCTGTGAAAACTTAGAATTTCTGGCAGTGGGGAATTTTATGCAAGGAAAAAACTAGGTATAGGTCTGAGTTTCAAGTCATGGGTAAATGTTTATCTATTAAAACATTAAAATTAATTCAATTAAAACATTCATTGCAAACAGGACTGAGAAGCTGCTTTCCAGATACTGCCCCCTGGCGGCCTCTCCTGGGACTCTGCACCCAAGGAAGCTGAACACACACCTTCCAGCTCTTCTGGGCTGGATTTGAAATCTTCTGTTCGCTGAGCTCATAAAAACACTGGAATGGGTCCCAGGCTGTGTTCTCACTTTTGGTTCTGAAAGCTCACTACTGGACATTCCAGATCTTTTCTAGCTTGTAGAAGCAAGTCCCTTCACCTTCCTGAGCAGATTGTCCAGTGCTTACAGTGGTCGGGTGGGATGATGTTTATGAAACATTTTGATGAAGACCAAGAAACAGGATCTGATATTGTGACTGTTTGCAGCTTCGTGTCTCTGCCCAAGGGGGCAGTGCAGTTCCTTCACTTTAGTGTCTCATGTTCCCTGGGCTGCGGGTCACCAAGGTGGGCATTTAAGAGGCTTAGCTCCCTTAGAAATCAGCCAGGGCTCCTTGTGGCATCGGAGGCATCTGGCATGGTGAGGGGCACCGTTGTGGGCAAGGGGCGAGGAGGCAAGTGTCTTAACTACACCAAGCCACTTAACTTCTTAACATGTTTGGGACAAACTGGAGGTGGTGCTCCCTCCCAGGGTCAGAGAACTGTCATCACTTTATTTTTCAGTTTTTTTTTTTAAACCTAAAGAGAAATACGTTTATGTAGGTAATGTGTGCAGAGCTAAGGCGCTGGAGTGAACACACTGTCAATCCCTGGCTGAGGGGTTTATTTGACTCCCTGTCCAAGTATGGGAACGTGTGTGTGTGTGTGCGTGTGCACTAAGTTGTTATACTCAGTCTTATGTATTAGGGTTCCAGGCAGATCTCCAACCAAGGTTTTACTGAAGGTGCTTAAGTTTAATTACTATACCGGATGCAAATTACCCCATTCTCATTAGCATTAGAATCTCAGGGTTGATGTGCTCCAATCACCTTTCAGAGAATCAGTTCCCACAGAAGACAGCCCAGGACAGAAAGCAAATAGCAAAGAAGTCTGTCTCTGGGCGCTCCACACTGTTTCAGTAGAAACAGTTTGACATGTACGAAACAACCAGGCAAAGCAATGCTAAAGGCAAGTTCTCATAAGAACCCAGCTTCCCATTTATCTGTGGAGGATGGCAGAATGAGCAGAGACAGACACAGGCCTCCTCTGGGGTGGGAGGGGCTCCTTGGGGTACCTACCACAGGCCACGGCGAGCAGATGCGTCTGCCAGTTGATGACATAGAACACGCCTCCGATGGCGATGCAGGCCAGGGCGCTGTTGTAGCCACACAGGCCCAAGTAGATAGAGTGAAAGGGCGTGGCGATGGTGAGCGCTGGGAGAGAAAGCAGACAGCAGGGTTGAGTTTGAGGGCTCATCGGGCTCCCTGGTTGGTCCTGAAACACACCACGGTCCTCAAAGTCCAGCCTCGTAATCCTCTTAGGTCGTTATAAAAAAGAACTGACTTTATTCAGCGAAAAAAGATCTAAAGGAAACAATATGAATCACACGACTGAGAGGTGAACCAGTAACAGGCAGAGAGACTGAGTATGAACTCTGGGAAGGGGCAAGGGGGTGGACTGGGGCTGAGGGGACAGTTTCATGCTATAGGATAGAACTGGACTTTCAGAGGTGAACTTAATTTAGTATGGACATGTTGATTTCTGATGATGCACACCTGAAACTTAAATGTTGCAATGCATTTTTACTTTAATAATCGTAAAAAAAGTTCAGAGAAGGTCCTTCCACTGCCACAGAAAGGGCACTCTCCTTCTTGACTGGCATCTTAATTTTCTCTAATGGGGAACAAATTCATTTTATGAAGGATAAGACTTAGAGTTTTCCTAAACTTTAAATTCATACTACAGTGTAAATGACTAACACTAAAGCCTTTCTTGAGGGCAGTTTTTGCTCAGGGGAACATAAGGACACTGGTACCCAAAATGGAAAAACATGGTAGAATGGAAGGAGGGAATGTTTACAGGGACAAGCAAATAGAACACTGAAGAATATGTCACCATTTCCTTTGTTGCTGGCCTTCATCAATAAGGGGAAAGAGAGGACACTAACCTGCTAACATGCCTATGGCGGATCCAATCACAGCGTGCAAGCAAATGAGAGGTGAAGAAATGAACAAAGCTATGATGAAGAGGCCTCCGGTCCAGGGGTTATCACAGCCATACACTTGGCCAATTCCAACAGGGATGGCTCTCAGGAGCTGTGGGGACAACAGATCACAGGCAGTTATGGGAGTCCCCTCTGAAGGACTGCTTTCTGAGGCTTCTGTTACCCACAGATACTGGTCAGAAAAGATTTTGTACAATAAGATGGAAGCGGGAAGAGGTGAGAGGGAGAGACCACAGTCACATAACATTCTTATAGTGTGTAGTTGTGATTGTTCTATTTTATATTTGTTGTTAATCTCTTACTGTGCCTACATTTGTAAGTTAAATGTTATCTTAGGTGTGCATGTATAGGGAAAAAATACAGTGCAGATAGGCTTTGGTATTATCCTGGGTTCCAGGCATCCACTGGGTGGGGCATGGGGGGGGTCAGGGAGGTCTTAGGACTTACCCTCTGAGAATAATAGAACCCCTTGAGCTTTGGCTAGAAAGTTTGGAGCCAAACCTTTCAAATTAGCATTCTGCATGAGATTTTCAACATAGCTTTGCACAAATTTTAAGCTGACTCTAAAGAAACAGGCTTTTTGGTTTAATCTTGAATTCTTAGAAAGCTAAGGGGTTGGGATGAGTTTCCTTTAAGCAGATAAATGAGTACAAGGTGCTAAACCCCCCAGAGAAGAGAAACAGAAGAACTCGAATGTGGGTCGTATTCACAGAAGGTAATAGCTCTCCAGGGGCTGGTTGGTGTAGTGGGCCGACCTCATGCCTGGCCTCCTGTCACTCCAGCACAGGGTGTGGACTTGTGTGCTATCAGGGGTCATGTTTTCTACAGAGGTGGTGCCTGAACAGCCACTACGAGAAGCTAGGAGGCATTATTTTTAAGAGAAATTTCCTTGCTTTGTGGTTAGATGCTGACTTGCCCATAATGAAGTTGCAGTGTGGGAGCATCTGGTGTAATGGAAAACAGGAGGCCTGGGAGAAGCGTGTGCGCTGAGATAAGGGGCTACCGGGCCCCTCCAAACTGGCTCCATGTTCTACGCTACTATTGGTGATCTTGGCTGATCTCCAGAGGCCAGCAATACACACAGCATATTTGCAGAAAGCCCCAAAAGCTTTGTGATGTGTATTCCTTAGGGGAGAACACCATACTCTAAGGTGGGAGCTTTGCCCCCCAAGACCATGATTTCAGCCAATAGCTAGAAGTATTCAATGATCCCATGATATGGAATAAAAGAGGATGCCACAGAAATGGGATTAAAACTGGAACAAAGTATCAAAAAGCCTTTATAAAAAGTAGAAGTCAGAGACCGAAGTTTTGGTTTTGACTTAGCAGCTCTTCACAGATGTGTGCCCTCAGCTGGGTCTCTAACCTGGCCAGTTTCTCCCTCTGTGCTGTGGGACCAGAAATGACCCTGGTAGCTCTCAGAAGATGAAAGAAGGTGCTGTGTGTAGGGTGTCCCCACCTGCAAGGGCTACTGGCTATTCCTTGCAGGTGCTTGATGTTCTCAGCAAGTGCACGCCATGGCAACAAGGCCTTTGGACAGACACCCTCCGCCCCCATTCTGTGACACCTACCAAGGGCACCTGGACCTCAGACCAGGTGATGTTGGGCACGGAGGAGGCAGGTTGCAGCAGTGTCGTGGGGAAGAAGAGGTTGTAGTGGCCTGTGGCTGCCAGGTACAGGGTCACGGCGATGTTGAAGGGCAGCGTGAAGACAGGGAGATCCCACTTGCTGAAGATGGTGCCCAGGGCACTGGAGAGGATGGGGCTGATGGCAGAAGCACAAGAGAACCATTCCAGAAGCCCCAGGATCTGACACTACACTGAGCGAGAGGAAGGGGCTCCCTACGACGTCTCGTCTGCTGGGGACCCCCTCCAAGTCTTCCGTGGGGCCTCCTCCCTGTGCCTTATACAGTGACCAGCGGATGCCCAGGAGGGAGGGCACTCTGGGATAAGTCTAGGGAAGGGGCATCACAGGATGACCTTGAAAGGTCTTGTGGCTCCTTCCCCAAGCAAAGAACAGGCTGGGGGAGTGAAGGGTCAGGGAGTCCTGCTCATTCATTCGATACATGTTTGTCGAATAAGTGAGAGCATGGATACATGTTTGTCAAGTAAGTGAGAGCAGGCAAACCTCACGATTTCTGAGATCTCTGCCAGCACCCTACAATTTCTGGAGGTGCAGGAGGACCTAGGCCCTGGTTCCCGGGGACCTCTGCCCAGCGGTTGGCCCTTCACCTACACAGCAGATGTGTCAGTCTGGGGTCCCAAGGACAAGGACAGCCCAGGTGAAGGAGGAAAGAGGACATTCCCAGAAAGGGCCAGGGCTGTGGCGGGGCTCTCAGCCTAGCTGGGCCCAGCTGCTTTCTCTGTGTCCTGGCAAGGGAGGACCAGAAATCCTATTCAACTGGAGAAAGAGAAGGAGGAAGGGGAGGGAAGGAAGCAAGGAAGGAAGGGAGGTGAGGTTGGAAGGGGCTGGAATATAGAGCATTTGGCAAGGCGCTGTCATTGCTGAGGCTTGTAATTGTTTCCAGGGGCGATTCTGAGGCCAGCTAAGCAAAGGCCACTTTAAATCAGTCACTGAGCCGGGCAAAATGGTTGGCGGCTCTGACTGGCCTCGAAGCAAGCTTACCAGGACATGGACATAATGATGACAGGGAGCAGGAGCCACCAGTAGTAGTCGCCCTTGTCTGAGAACACGGCCATCAGCAGCCCCACCAGCACCCCGTTGTACCCCTGGAGGCCTGCGGCGATGGCTGACCTGGGGGGAGAGGGTGGGTGAGTGGAGGCTCCCCGTGGCTTCACGGGGGATGAGGGGCTGCCTTCTTGATTTGCCTTCTGAGCCAGCTCTGTCCCAGCCAGGGCCTGACCACCGGCACTTTGACATGCGGTCCCTCTGGGACTGCGATGGGGAGACAGGACCCCCACACTCCCCAGGACTATAGGTACAAGGCAGGCGGGGTAGTGGTTTGCAGTCATCAGGGTCCTTATTTCAAGGGGTTTCTCCGCTGGGAGTTAAGCAGAAGGGCTGGGAGGGGGAGGAGGGGTCCCGTCTGAGCCTCCTCGGCCACACACAGGACCCCGGGCTTCCCGGAACTTACTTGTCCTGACTCAAGACGAGGGCTGTCAAAGTGGACACCACGGAGCCCACGGAGCCCAAGAGGGCCCACCAGGGGTTCTGGATGAACAGGCCGAGGACCATGAGGATGCCGCTGAGGGGGTTGTTCACAAACATCACCTGAGACGTGCCCCGCAGCACCCAGTCCAGGAACTGGAACACCGGGGACTTGTCTGAAATGCAACCAGGCAGGAAGCCCGTTAGTGCCAGGTGTGGCAGCTCTGGGTCAGGCCCCAGCCAGCAGCGGGAGGGTGAGGGCCTCTCTGCCTCCACAGTGGGCTCTAGGGGACCAGCACCTGCTGCACCTGCCAGAGTTGGGGGTAAACCAGGACCTGAGAGGACCGTAGGTGCCCCTGACATGCTGCAGGCCCAGGCCAGCCGGGCGGTGGCCGGGCAGTTTCTGAGCAGCAGGGCAAGGCTCCTGAATTGTGTGTGTCTGGCAGAGAGGCTGCATGTTCCAGAAGACAGCCATGAAGAAGTCACTCTTGTTACATGGAGGGTCCAGCCCACAGAGGGCCTGAGCTTTGGGGAGACTGTTCAAGAGGACCCTGTATGCTCCATTTTCACATGAGCGGTGGAGAGGCTGATGTTTTCCTGAAACACTGGCTCCAGAATCCCAGGGTTAAAAGGCCCGACTGCTGGGCCCAGATGGATGTTTTGTTGTGTTTAGACGAGAGAGCTCACACACTTACATGTTATACACCGACATCCCGAGAGGCGGTGTGTCTGTTCTAATGACCCAACTTCCAGAAGACCAGAACTCGGTGTGGTCCAGAGAGAACCATGGAAGTGTGTCTCTGGGGGAGGGACAGAGGGGACCCTCGGGTGTGGGGTGGCACGGTCTTTACCTTTAAGTCCCTCTCCACAGGCCTTCATCTCTCCTGTGATGTAGCTGAGGGCTCGGCTGACTCTTTTGCCACTGGTGGCCAGGGAACTCTGAATCCAGGAGGTCTTGGGCATGTTGGCCTCCTCCTTGATCTCCACACTCTCCTCCATGATGTCCAGATCCTGTCCAGGGATGAGAGACAGGCAAGAAGCTCCCACCTTCTGGGCCCCTCCTCATGGCTGTGACCCTCGTGCTTGTTCTGGGCTCAAGCTAAGATTCTCATTTGGTATTTAGTGAAACTGCTGTTTAACCATTTCTGTTTCTGTAACCTGGACTCTCTGGCTTGCTCTGGCAAGTCACCTCCTTTAGAGCGGGCAGAAGCCTTGACGTTAGTTCGAGGCCAGGTCTTTCCTGCTGGGGAGGAGGGCTTAGGCTTGGAGACCATTCAGTTTGCAAAGGTCAAGGTCAGATGGCGGAGATTTAACTGCAGAGCTTTTGATTCTGTTTTTAGACCATTACCTCTGCTCTCCCAAATGCTTTCCAAAAGAAACTATTTTTCCCTCAGAATGCCTTTAACATGACCTGTCCATAAAACGAAACATGTGAAGTCTGGTTTTGAAAACTGGTACCAGCAAATGTTCTGAATGCTTGAATGCTGGATTTAGAGGAAGACAGATAATAAAATTTCAAATGAAATTTAAAAAATAAAAATTCAAATGAAAGGGAAACTTGATAAACTGTGGAAAATACACATTTTCAATCCCAGGTAATTATTTCTGAAAACACGAATGCAAATTAAATTCGCCTGAACCAGAGGAGGTCTTTCTGGGCCTGGCTCGCTGGGATCAGGTAAGCAGGATGTGGGCGCTGCTCCTGAGGGGGTCCCCGTTACTCACCAGTAACTCGACTGTGGGCTTCCGGTATTGATAGGGAAACGGGTCTTTGGCTTGTCTTTCCTGGTGTTCGCCTCTTCCAAAGACTGGAGTTGGAAGGAGAAAACACCACCAGTTAACACCTCCACCTGGTGCCTCAGCGGCACGTCCCTTGCAGGACTCGAGAGAGATTGTGCGGTGCGTTGTGCCCCAGCCCAGGAATCACAGCCCTGGGCACCCGCGGGCTGGCAGACTCCCTTTTTCTTCTGGTCATGCATCCTTTGGGGCTCTCTCTCTCGGAAAAGCGCACATCCTCCTGTAAACAGGCCATTTTGCAGGCACTTAGGGTGCTCAGAGGCTCACTGACCTTTAGTTAAGAAACTTCACTCAACTCCTGTATTTTTGGTTGTAGCAACAGCGACCAGCCTCTGTGTCCTGACTCCAGAGCTCTCTCCTACCGCACTGGAGAGATGGCAAGTATAGGAAGAGAGGACCTCAGAGGGCAGGCGCCTAACACCCGTTCTCGCCTCCAGAGTATTCGGCATTTTAAAAGTATAAGCTGTCTGAGCCATTCAAGACCCACATTTGAATTTGACGGGACCGTCCCCACCTGGAGGACCTCAGACTCTTCTGGTCTTTTTCTGATGCATGTCTCTGAATTCTCGGTATTTTAACAACAACGGTTGGCTTTTAGTATATTTTTGTAATTCTAAAGATCTCATGTAGACTTCCCCCCCCATTATTATCAGTTAATTTATTCTCAAAGACGACCTATTTCAGTCGGGTTTTCATGCCTTGCTAAATCTCGGCCCTTGGAGATTTTAGTCTTGATACGCTGGCTCCCTCTCGTGGTCTAGTATAAGAATGGCAGGCTGGGCTGTGAAGGCCTGGTATTTTCAAGAGCCAGTTCCTAGGCTAAGCACTAGAAGGAACGCGTCATCCCTTCTCTTTGGCTGAGCACAAGTGTAGAAGGAATTGCATCACGAGGCACTGTTTCCATTTTTGAAGGATCAGGGGTTGTACATGCCACTGTGCTTGGGAAGTCACACTGTGCAGGGGAAACTTGTTTTGGAAGCTGTGAATAGGAGCAAAGAGTATTTCTCTATATTGTAAGGCCAGTGTGTGTGATATCCTGACAGCCCTCTGCATCTGTCTGAAGCTCCCCGCTGCCTGCCGCTGCCCGGCAACTGCAACTCCCACCCCACCCCCCCTCGCTACAGGGCCCTCCCAATCTGGTCTCCAATCACTATCATAAGGGGATGTTTGGAGGGAGACTGTCAATCTCTGGAGGCTGCCAGGCTCTCTTGCACCCCATGCACAGAGGCCCCTGTTGGAGACAAACCCCCTGGGCTTGGGGACCGTCTCTGCCTTGCTAGCTGTCTTTTCTCTGGGCCAGCCACTTTGCAAATGAAGCAATGGGGCTCTGATGGAAGAAGAGAGTCACCGGTGCACCTCCTGGGAAGCGGGTGACCTCACAGAAAGAACACCAGCCCAGTCAGTCTGCCCACAGCATCTCTTGTTGCTGTGTGACGGGGGGCAAGTCGGGTCCTTTCTCGCAGGCTGGTGTGTGTGTAAGGGCAGAAGCCCATGACCCCTCTGCTCTGGCTTTTCAAGCAAACTTCCAGCTGGTTGGAGATTCCCCTTACCCCTCTACTGGAGGACTCAGCTTCCAAATCCAAGTTTCTGACCTCCCACCTGCTCAGCTTCAGCTGCCTCCTGGGCCCCCATTTGGCCTTTGGGAGTCCCCCCCACCCCCATGGCTCTACCCCTATTCTATTGGTCTTGTCATCTACTCCCACTGTAAACTAGGGCTTTTCATCTGTAGCCTCCTAGGCCAGCGTTTTGTGACTCAGTGGGAAGTTAGAATCTCATGGAGAGATTTCAAGGTCCTTAGGCCCGGCCAGGCCACCCTCCAGCTGTCAGATGAGAGGCTTGGGGGAGGGGATGCAGGTGGCCCCAAGGTACAGCCAAGTCTGGGACCTCCTGGGCTGGGCCCACAGTGCCTGCCTCCTGTCCCGACTCCCACCTCCCCACACCCACCTGCCCCGGGGAGAATCTAGACAACAGGACCTGTGACTGACCCGAGGTCAGTGGTGATGGGATTGAACCTCACCCTCATGGTTCTCCCCAGCACTCCGGGAAGCACAGCCATCACGCCCATCTCATAGATGAGAGGATGGGGAGGAAGTGCACACCTTTGCTCCTTCTCCGAATGGATGGCCACTCGATGTGGAACACACTCCTGGGCTTGGGGAGCACGGCCTCTGAGCTCTCGTCGGCCTTGGGGCTCGCTGTGGCTGGCTGCTGCCCACCGCTGCCTAGCGAGGGGCAAAATGAGACAGGTCAGTGTCCCACCCTGGCCTGCACCCCATGAGCGCCAAGCAAAGAGCTCCGGAAAAGGCCCTCGCAGAAGCGGGACAGGACAGAGAGGGGACCAAGGCTGGAGTGGGAGCAGCATCTGCTTGGCACAAACAGCTTCCCCACTCCTCCTGTGACAGCGTCCGCGGGGCTTCCTCATGGCACATAAGTGCTGCCAGTGTTGTGGGACGATGAGTCCCCGGCCTTCTTTCTGCAGCCACGCGAAGCCCCACTGCCCTGGCCTGGGCCTGCTGGCTGGTGGAAGACCTGATGCCCACTCTGTTCTCCAGCCAGCGCCCAGGCCTCCACCTGGCAGGCGGCATGCGGCTCCCTGGCACTGAAGCACACAGACTCACAGGAGCGCTTCTGAAAAACGCCTCAGCTCACCCCAGACCAGTTTTAAAACATTAATGTTTTTCTAATGCCCATAACATTCAAAGGATGGCTCTGTCATGCAGCTTGGACTGAGAATCCAGGTTTTATGTTGTGCACCTCAGATTCAGCTCCTAG